ACATCGATAATCTTTTTGAATGATGAAACTAACAAGAAAGAAAAAAAGTAATAACATGTGGTAAAATATATTTGAGAAAATGGTTACTATACCTGTAGCTCTTAATTGATTATCTTCAGCACTGCATCCAACACTTTCCCTAGCAAAACTACTGCCAATATATTGACATCCTATGATGAGAAAATACACAAGAAGTAATCGAAACATAGTTTGATGATTGGTATTGTTATTCTACAATAGAATACATTTATGAAATAAGAATTAAAATGATGGAGAGAAGTACAAAGAAAAGGATAAAAGTGATTCAACCTTTATATTTCATTGTTATCTCTGTGATTCTTCATTTTTTTTGTATTAAATGGCATTAACGTGCTTTCTCTTGTTAATTTATTTTGAATGTGCTGTGTCATGTTAGACACAAATGAAAAGTGTCAGAATATGATCCTCTTGGTATTTTACGCTATTTCTTCTTATTTCTATTTAAAAGGTTTAAGAATGATTGAGTGGTTAAAGTGTTGAGAGTAGAATTTGATTGCATATTAATATGATATTTTATTAAATTTTTTAAAAAACAAATTTGAGCTTGTCTATATAAACCTCACTTAGACTATTTAACTATTTTCCATTTGGAGAGTGGTTTGTCGGCAGTCTCCTTATTGAATTGTTCGACATACTCTTCGATCAGAGCACGTACAGCTTTACCAATGCGTTTATAATCAGCTTCGTTCAAATTTGCAAGTGATACTCGACCAGACGGATGTTGAATACCAAAACCACGACCAGGTAATAGCACAACATGTGCTTCATGTGCAAGTCGCATCAAAAGTGCAGTCATATCTGCGTGAGTAATCAACCAATCTGCAAATTTACGTCCATGAATACGTTCACCAAGTAATTCAAGATCAAGAATAGCATAGTAATCGACAGAATTAATATCGTCCTCAGCATCACCGAAACCGATACCTATTGCACGATAGAGAGCACGTTTTCGATGTCGAATGAGTCGTTTGAGCACTGTCTTGTACGAATCAGCTGTGTCCATGAGTGCAAAAAGAGAGAAAAGTACCATCTGTACCTGTTGTGGAGTAGACAATCCTGCTGTATGGTTTAATGCAACGGAACGACTGTCCGCTACTAGCCGATCAATAAACTTGAGTGAACTAGGCTCAGGTGCAATTGATGCGTAGCGTGCGTGAAGTGCCGTTCGTTTTTGTTCATCCAATTTAGCAATCTGAGCATCGAGGATGTTATCCCGATGTATACCAATAACACCAAGACGCCATCCTGTCGCACCAAAATATTTAGAGTACGAGTAAACTAGAATGGTGTTCTTGGGACAAGTAGCGAAAATCGAAACAAACTGATCAGCAAATGTACCGTAAACATCATCGGTAAGAATGATTAAATCGGGTCGTTCGGCTACGATAGATGAGATATAAGCGAGACTTTCATTGTCAAGTTTCACCGATGCTGGATTGGCAGGATTGACAAGAAAGAAAGCTTTGACCTAGAAGAGATCAATTTGAAAGGATCAGAAAGTATCTCTATCTGATATTTTCTTACCTTAGGATCTCGCAGCTTGTCAAGTTCTTCTTTAGGATACTGCCATTTTAGATTCTTATCAGCATTGATATTTACCACTTTAAATTGATAGTCACTCATATGTGGAATTTCCAAATAAGGTGTAAAGATAGGCGCACCAAGTGCAATTGTATCGCCATGTTCAAGTAGATAATTCGCTCGTAATGAATTGAAGATATAAGTCATGGCGGCTGTACCACCTTCCACCGCAAATAAATCGAATTCATCAATATAAGGCTACATAATACAAAAAGACAAATAAATTTAAATATCTTAGTAGTGTTCTAACTAAAGAAAATGTCTAATAGCATTCACACTAAACGTACATGTTCACCAATCATTTCGTGTCGTATATAGTGAGCGACGATCTCTTCAGAAAGTGAAAGCATTCGATCTGGTACAGGATAGTTGCTGCCGAGTATACCTTCACACATTTCATAAAGAAAATCAGATGCATCAAGACCAAGTTGATCACGTACGAAGGAGACAGCACCACGAAGAAACGAAATACCATCGACATTTTTATTGTCACGAGCAAAAATTTCAAAGCGTTCTTCGATTTGTTCACGCTTTGGAAAACCACCTACACCCTCTGGTAAATAGGCGAACGAACGCTCGGATTCACGCATAGCAAACAAGCCTAATTGGAAGAAACCATATCGTGGCACCGTGGCTAGAAAATTAGGATTGCCACGGCCTGCATTCAACATTGATGTATTTGCTGGTCGAGAAACTGCTGCACTTCCTTCAGCCGTTTTGATGAGCACATCTTTGAGTTCAAAAGGACTCAACGATTTGAGATTGTCCATACTATGATCCATATAGATTTTCTTTCGATGATGATGCTATTAGAGACGAAGAAATGGTACGCAATAGCGAATCTAGTTATATAGTCAAAAATAAGGAGATATAAGCAAGTTATATCAAGCGTACGTGACAAAATAATAGAACTAACGACAAGAATAAGAAAAAGAAAAAAAAAGAAACATGTGCCTCACGCTCATGGCTAGTCGATTTTGTACGAAAAAGAAGAAAGAAAAAAAACGATCATTTGTCTGTATATTTTTTTCTTCTCGTTTCTACTATTGGACGATTTGATACTTTTATTTTCGTATGTATTCAAAAGAAAATATAAGTTCATTTTAAGGTCAAAACACACGGTCTATTAAATTATTCAAGATAAAAACATGAATGAAAAATAAATTTAGTTTAAGTTTATAAAAATTAATTAGTAAATGTAATCAGATAGGTTGGATAAGCCACACGATTTTCATAGACAATATAAACTTTACTGCCTCCTGTATCACCTGACACGCTATTATATCGTAGACCAGAAACACCTTCATTTTTTTTCGGAGCTCGACGCATTGTTGAATCACTTTTACAATTATAGACGTCTCCAGTTAAAACTTGTGCTAAAAATACTTGACGTTTACCATCTGGCAATTGAGAATAATAGCTATTACATGAGTATGAAGCATTTTTAGCAAAATAAGTACCAATACCCCACATACCACTTGTACTAAATGTCATATCAAAGCCAAATTCACCATTGTAAATTTCACTAGGAGGTGTCGCTTTTGTTCCATGAAATAATTCCATCTCAATCTGTAAATTAGGTATAGCATATACGTCCTTTTTAAGTTCTCGACGACGAAATGCATAATGACTCCACATACGTATATTTTGTACTCGTTGAATTTTATGGATTTTTATATTACTCATTGTTTCTTTCATACGCTTTTCAATACGAGTAAAATTAGGATCACTCGTAGGTATTTCAACTAATTTCACATCTTCTTTCTGTTCACCCCATTCTTTAGGTGTACCCAATTCATTATTATTATTATTTATTTGCATTTTCAAGATATCATGAGCATATAAAGTAATTTTTAATTTTGCTTCTTGTACATTTGGTTTCAAACCTTTCAATATCATTGATAGTTGTCCTGACTTCTCTTCATGAAAATTAATTTGAATATAATGTTGAGTTGCAATAGATTTAATTTTTTCTTTATGTATAGCAATGTCTCTACCCAAACTGATAGAATATGGTTCTGAAATATTAGCAGAATCAATCGCTTTTCGAATTGCATTTTTAGCTTGAGTTATTGCAGCACTATTAATACCAATAATATCCCAATCATCTTCCGTTGTTACCATTTGTATACTATATAGATCCAATGGTTTATGAGAATGGATAACAGTTTTCGTTTCAATCTTTGGTACAATTGGATATCGAATAATATTTCGTGAAAAATTTGTATTTTCATTTTTTTGATGTCCACAGACAAGACGTTCATTTAGTAAACTTGGCTCGATTGTTAATAATTGTTTCAAAGTGGGTAAAAAATGAATATAGTTAATAGTAGTACCATTTTTTAAATTATTAGCCGGAACGAGTAGTTTTGATTGAGTAGAATTTTTTCTAAATTGTTGAAATTCAGTTTCAATTTTACGTATATAATGATCATTATATGGTTTCTCACCATCATCATCTTGCCAACACCATTTAACATTTAATGGAGTTAATTCATAATTCATAATATCATCATCATTATCTACAGCTTCATTTCTATGATCGATGATAACTTCACGTGCAAATGAATTACAAACTGCATCATCTATATCTAATAGAATCATTTTTTTCAATTTCGACTGTGGATTATCAGCAAAGAATTGTTTCACAGTACGAACTACAATATTTATATAATCTGTCAATGGAAAATCAGACGTTTTCGAACTAATAGCAGCTAAAGCAACACTTGTATAACATTCATTTTCAGCAAGTTGTAAACTTGATAAAATACTGGAGAATAATAATGAACGTTCTTGTTGATTACCATCAATGTATTGAGGACCAATTGCATGAATAATAGATGTAAATGGAAGATTACCGGCTGTTGTTTTAACTGCTTTACCTGGAGAAATAGGTAAACCATTATTTTTAGCAATTATTTTTTTATATTCTTCAACTAATGCAGTACCAGCAGCATTAACAATAGCTTTATCTATACCACCTGCGTCTTGTAATGATCCACTTGTTGCATTTATGATGATAGCATTGATATTTTTTACTTTTGTAATATCACCTTTTTCAACGACAATTGTTTGATTACGACTATTGCTAACAGTAGTTAGAATTGTATTAATATTATTATCATTCGTGTTTGATGCAGATTTATTCATGTCTATCTTAACATCTCGAATCGAAGTATTTGTTTCACGTTCAATACGTGTTGTTAATTCATATGAATTGGCTCGCATTAAATCTGATTCGATTGTTAATAATTGTAAATGATGTTTAATAATTTTTTGGGTAATATCCTTGATAATAGTATTGATCTTTTCTTTTAAAACAATGACGATATCGGAACGACCATGTAATGTTACTCCTTTAAGATTTTTTGAGTCTACGAAAATTTTTTGATATCTTGCTTCTTCGATCAAAGAAGCAATAGCTTGATTAACAAAACGACGAATTCTTGGTTGAATACTAATAAATTCAGAAATACGATTTACTCGAGGTTTATTCTCTTCTCCCAAGGTTAGTAACGCTTCTTTAATATCTTCTGCGATCATTTTTGATTGTGCAGCAATGGTAATCGTACTTGTAACTCGATCCATTTGTATATCAGTATTCCATTGTCGTCCAAATTCTTCAAGTGACAATGATTTTGTTCTAAAAAATGCATTAGATATTGTACAATATTCATCAACAGATGGTTTCCAAATAATATATCCTCCAACGATATCTTGACATTGTTCAACGACATCAGCAACTGTTTCTTCATTGAAACCAACTATGGTAATAGTAAGTTTTGGTGTTATTTCTCTTTTTTCAGCTGGTGTATAAACTTTAATCCATCCTGTTGCTTCACAATCATCTGAATCTAGCATTTTTTTTAATTTTTCACGAAGAATTTGTGAGATGAACTTTGCAGCATCCCAACTATCACATGAAAATTGTTTTTCTTGTTCGGATAAACGTTCAAGAAAATTGTCAACATTTATTTGAGCTGTACGAATACGTGATTCAGAACCAGTAAGTTTTATGCAATCATTCTTATCATTTTGTTCATCATTCGTACGGCTGGCAAATGGTGGTGAAAATATTTTTATCTCTACAGAATGAGTTTTCTCCAATTTTCTAAGATCGAAAGAACCTTTTGTTCGAAGATACACTGCCATAGCTTGTGAAATAGATAGTTGAACTTCGGTATCAACATGATCATTTAAATAATTTTTTATTTTAGAAACAGCATTGTTTACATGGTCCTTGAATCCTTTCACTTTTATAAAGTATAAACCATTTTTATATTTTATAAAATTTGTTACAATGGAATTTACACCAGATCGAGTAAGACTATCGATATAACGTTTAATCTGTAAAGTTTTACTTTGAAATTTATTATTTTTTTGTGGAAATCTATTTGGTTGTTGTAATTGCTTTAAAATGTATGTAACCTCTTCTTGTGTTAATGCCAATGACCGAATGTCAAAAGTATAGTTTCCTAATTCTTGTATAGCGTTAGATATTAAATCTTCAGAATCAGTACATAAGATTACTTCTATGTTTTGTTGAACGCAAGGATGACGACGCTGAGATTTACCTGAAATACTTGTAATATTTGATGATGTATTAGATATATCACTTTGGTTGTCAGTAAAATCGTCGCTTTCGTCTTCAGATTGCTCCATATTATAATCATTATCGAATTGTTTTTCTTGTTCATTTTGATTATAGTTACCAGTACGATTTTTTAATTTAATCATATCATTGGTTGTTAAAGAAGCGTTTTCTATTGAGTTACGATACGAAATTCCTACACGATATTTTTCTCGGAATTTTTTTAATAAATGCCCTTTGCATTGTAACTCTAAGTATTTCTTCATACTGAAAGATATCGTTATTCTTCGTTCATGAAGTACTTGTTTTAAATAAGATTCTATATTAGTACTTATTAAGTTTTTACCGATTAGTTGAAGTTTACCATCTTTAATTTTTAGATCTTCAATATCTGGTTTTTCACGAATTGTATCTAGAATTTTTTTACCAAAATTTTCAAGAAAATTTTGCTCGGCATTACTCAGTTCAGTTATAATTTTTGATGGTTCCTTCGGTAAACTAGAAGGCATAATTGGGTGTAGATATTCACAATTATGTTTGTTATTGCATCGATCCGCATTACGACATCGTCCTTTGTAATTAGGTGGATGTCTAGCTATACAATCATAATTACGACATAGCGATCCATTTTGACATGGATTCTAGCCCTTTGGATGATCAAATTGACAATCAGCTTTATAACATAATATGCCGTTGAAACACAGTTTCCTTGTACCTATTAGACTCGGTATATGAGATGATGGCTTGGGTTCTGACTTCCGTTGTTTTGCATGTGCAAGACGACAATCAGGTTTTTCACATGAATCAAAATTTAGACATCGTGTGTGACGATATTCACATTCGCCATCCTTATAACGGCAATTGCCTTTGTTTGCATAACTACAAAGTCGACCTTGGTACGGTGTGGACGTGAATGAATGAGGTTGTGGCTCTGAAGAATCAACAACCGTACTCTCAACAGAGTTTTTAACAGATGACAATTGACCTGATTCATTTGATGATTGAAATGTTTCATTTAATGTCTTAATATCCGGAGCTAGATTTTGATTTTGATGAGAAGATGGTAGCGTTGATTCCGTTGATTTATTTTCATGATCTTTTACAAAATTAGGTGTACCATTTGTATCAATTGGCTTAATAGGTACAGACGTACTAGATATATTATAATCATTTGATCTTCCTTCAGTTCCTCGATTAGATTGTGGTTGATGTCCAATATCATTGAATGATTTACTAGAAGACGTTGTTGATTGCGACGATAAATGAGGTGTATCTGCAACACATCTTACAGGTTCACCAGAAATTCGTAAGTCTGACATTTTCATGACAAAATTATCGGCTTCTTGTTTATTGACAAAGCCATTAACCAATGCATAACGGGAATTATTATCGTTAGTCTTGAGAAAAGATAAACGCTTCATTGGCAGACCTATTGTTTGAGCTAATTGATTAACCGTAACATCTATATCAATGGGCATCATTTTAACATTCCAATGACCGAGTGATCCTTGCTTTTCCATTATGTTTTTTTTCAAAATCAATGAAATCGTAATAGATGATATTGATATTAAATTTATCTACGTAGACACAATATCTTTATAGAATTAAATAAATTATTCAAGATTAATTTTGGTACTTACGCAATCAACAGAGTGATGTTGAATATAACACAAAAAAAAAGTAATGTTTCTTACTGCTTCGACGAAGTAACTCGCCGTCTAGCGCTTAATTTATATGAAAAGATAAGGAAAGAAGAATCGAGAATAATTCTTTCTTCATCTTGAAAGATTACAAAAAGTCTCCCAATTTTTTGCATCATATATGTTTATAAAAATTAGTTAAATTCTGTTACTGTTATTTAAGACCATTGCTTTTTCGAATACAATGTGTTTTAGATGTTGACTCGTAAATGTACTGTTAGTTTTATTTCTTCCAGTATGATCTGAAAATCCCAGATTGAAAAACTTTTTTCGAAAGTATCAGATAGAACGTAAAACAATTCATGTGGTTTCACTGGGAAAAAATGAGAAGTTTTCACCACTACGAAGCTGTGGGTGTAAGTAATATGTTTATTCAGCAGCGATATCTATGCTTGCCTACACATTATTGTTATACGTAAAAGATAATTCGTCATGCTATTATGATAAAGAATGTGTCATTTTGTTTCGTCTTTTGCTCTTCTCTTATCATGTTAGTCTTCAAATAAAAGTATATGAAACAAAAGAGGGAGAAAAAGACGTAAACATTTTAAACTAACTGGTGGTGTATATCATTTTACACATTTTTCTTTTTTTGTAATGACGTCTAATGAAGAGCAGTCATCCTATTCTACAATTGGATGCTAATCGATTCGATTAATCTTTAAGCAAGTCGCTATGAACGAGGATGAGGGCGAGACCTAATTCAGGTCAGAGATTCTGCGCAAAATTTAATATACAAGAAGATCACATTATCTCATCAATACCAAGCCCTCTGAAACTTACTACTGCTATATTGAATTTATTTAAGTACTATGTTACATGAAAATGAACAAAAAGATCACACAGAAAATTGGCAATTGTCTAGAAGTCACTGAGTTCGCATCGCATGTATATGTTATTTGATAGGTATTAATGCACTGAGTATATTGTGCACATGTTGACGAACATAATGTGCAGTCACCCGTAGTGTACGCATCGAAGTCTTTACATGCAATACTACCACAGCAATTACAACGACACCGTGTAGTTCCGCTTACAGATGTTAAACATTGACCCAACGTTTGTCCAACACTAGTCGTTAATGGACACAGTGGTGGATATCGAATTTGACATGCTTGTGTGCAAGCGACTGTAGAGCACTGTGAAGCCGACGTATTTCCTACGAGAATAGTAGGAATACAGTATGAATTTGATGTGCAACAGTAACATGAACATGCATTACCCAACCATGGGCCAATTGTCGTTGTAGTTGTAGCTGTCGTAGTTAGTCCTTGGCATGAGCCTTGTGTTTGTCCATATTGATTCGAAACGCATAGAAGTGGATAAGCTGAGTTGCACGCTATACTACATGATCCAGGTAAACATGAATAAGTGGTAGTATAACCAACTAAAACAGGTGCACAAGTAGTAGATCCAGAACTACAGCAATCGCATCGACAACTGTACGGACCATTTGCGGGTGCAATAGTCGTTCCACTTATACATTGTCCAGTCGCTTGTCCATAAGGAGTGTATGCTGAACATTGATAGTATTTATCACGACATGTTTGACTACAACTGTCTGCTGTGCAATATGGAGCGTAAACGTAACCAATCGTAGCTGATTGACAATTTTGACCAAGACAACATAAACATGAACATGGATATTGCGCGTAAATAGTTGTTATAAAAACTATGATTAGCACGAAACAGTTTTCGATGAATTGTATAGTATTTTTCATGATTTAATGATTCATCTAATTCGATAATGTATATACCATAGGACATACGCACTCTGAATATAACTCATGCAACCAAGGTTTGATCTATATCAAATGACTGAAAAAAAAGAACGATAAAAAAAATACGTCCAAACCGAAGGCTTCGCAAAAATTACCGATGTCCTTAACGAATATACTTCCATCGATAAAAAGTCACATTTATGTCGTTGATAACAAAAAATCTATAATATAAAAGAACAACTAATATAAGATAATCTGTTTTTTTGCTGTTATATTGTTCTATTGAAATTTAATAAAATGGATAGAAGATAAATATAGAACTGATTAGAGAAAATGAACATGTTTTCATGTATTCTATCTATTCGATCCAATTTTTCTTCTCAAGACGATCGTTTTGACACTCAAATTCTATAAAATGAAAAGGTATAAATATATTTGTCAATCTTACAAATGTAATTATACATTAAAATAGAGAGTAAGGGAAAAGAAATCCTTGAATAGTACGAGAAAAGAAAGGAGAAAAAAAATTGGCACCCGACATGTAGAAATTCAAAGGCTAAAAAGCAAACATTACTGAGATTGACGAAGACAGTGAATAGAGGAGGAAAGAAGAAAAAAGTTTCGCATCAACCATATATAGAGAGAGGCGACGATTAGGTAGTAACTAACACTAACGTTGACGAACACAGCCAACGACAGAGGAAAAGAAGAAAAAAAAATTCTCCTCAATCATATATAGAGACTCAAAGACTAAAGAGTAGGCATCACTATAGTTTACGAATACAATTAATGATGGATGAAAAAAACACTCCGTGGGATGATAGCAGATGGTGCCGCAATATTTAAAAAAAGTAAAATTTGTCATAAATCTTTTAAGGATGGGTGTAAGTGACAGAGTAGTATATCACCTACACCCTCACGATATCATCTCTCACAAATTTAGATCATTTACAATGAAATACAATAAATTATGTACTCTATAATTAGAAATGAATGAGGTTCTTGTGTAAATAAAGATTTATTTCAATATAAAAAACTTAGTGACAGCCTATAGTTTATAAAATGATGCTTAAATTATATTCATTGATCCGTTGTACTAGTATATTGTGTTTTACCCGCAAGTCCTTGTATTTTTGTCCATGTTTTATATAATTCATTTTCTAATGTTGTTGTAAACGGAATTTTAATATCTGTATAATAATAATTGACAAGTTTCTTGGATTTAAATTGTCCAATTTCGTTTGCTAAATAATGAATAATCTTTGATTTTGTATTCGCATTAATTTTTTCATCTAAAGTAAATTCTGTGATGATTTTTAATGTTTCATAAACTTTAATAGCACTATTATCTGTTAAAGATTTTAATAAATCATCAACTAATTCATTTGGTGGTAGATGAATGTATGGAATTCCAATAGAAGTATATTGCTTGACAATATTTTCATCAAATAATGAGTTTAAAGCATTGATAATTATTTTATGATCGGGTAAATCCATTGCAGCAAGTAAAATAAATGCACTTCCTCTTGATGGAAAATATGGATGATGATTAATCATATACTCTAAGAGTTTAATCATTTGAATTTTATCAAATTTTTGAGAATTTGTTATTTTTCGATAGAGATAATCTTCTTTTTGAACACAAGCTGCAACTAAAGATAATAAATTATTAGACATCATCAAGGAATATATTGAATTATTCGATTCTTTCAAATTAATCATTTTTTGTATTAACCATTGAATTAAACTTTCCAGTATTATAATAGTAATTGGAATATCGTTTATTATGTCTAATATACTTTGATTGAGATCGTTCACTAATACACGAAAATTGCAAGAACCTATATGTTTAATCTGGTCATAGTTATTGTGATAAAGATCTTCAATTCTGATAGTCATTTCACTGATTAATTTTGATTCAAGACTAGCAAAATACATTTCATCATTCACATTTGTTGATACACAAATTTCATTAATAATAAAAGCGATTGTTTCCAATTCTGTTCCAGAAAAATATAACTTTTCTATGAATTGACTTGTATCAGTCACTGACAATATTCTTCGAAATTCCATCCAATTTTCTGCGGTTATTTGACCATCTATTGTTAAATCCATTACGGAATGAAGTAACTCTTCTGCACAGAATGAATGCGACGATAACTGTATTATCGAATTCCATGTCTGCTCATTGATAAATTTGATTGGATAAAGAAACCATATTCTTCTATCACCAAGATTTTTCTGCTTCAATTGTATTACTTTTTCAATTATTTTGGGATCATCCCACAGCAAATCAAAGAAGAAATGGCGCAAATATGTTTGAACTCTCGGAAGATGTTCCCCCATCAATGCAGTCTGAAGGATTTTCATCAATGTTTTTTCACCTATGATGGATATTCTCTTACTAGGTTCCTTAGGATCTCGTTCAGGATGTTGAAAAATTCGTTGAGCACGATATCTCATTTGATCATTATCAGTTTTTATTAAATCAACGATTGTATCCATTGCTGATTCAAAAATATATTTGCTTTCTACAAGTAACAGAGCAGCTAATTTTTTAATTTCATTATGCTGACAATCAGTAAACCATCGTTGAACAATTGGTAAAACTTCATTCGATGGTTTAATAATATATGGAAATAGAACTGAAATTATTTCTTCTTGTCCTTGTTGTATTAATTCATCGATAATAATTGCTGCTTGTGGTGTTAGAAATAGTTCATTATTTAAACCAACGTTTAATATTTTTTCAATATTCGATTGATTATTGATATCTTTATAAAAATTAATCCATAACTTATGTAAACTATCATCTTTATCTAATACCAGTTTGATATCATTTAATTGCGCAAAGAGTCGAAATAGAGCATGGAATTCTGTGTGTTCGATATCATCTTGTACTTTTTGATTAAATAATATTCTTCCGTAGTATGAATTAACAAAATCATTATGTGTTTTATTTTTGAAATTTTGTATAATTGTCTTTAATTCATTTTGAAGATCATCATAAATCGAAATTAATGGTTTTAATTTAATAATTAATTTTATATTCTCATGATTTTCATCCATCTGTATCAATATTTCGAGTGTATTTGCCAAATACTTTTTACGAAATTCACCTGAGCCATAAAATGATAATCTTGTTAATGCAATCACTCGATCATAACGATCTTCAATCTTTTCAGATGTCAAAATTAATTCGTCGATAATTTGTTGAATAAATAATTTTGGATTTACTTGTTTATAATGAAGAGCATAGTAAATCTTTTCTAAAACTTGAAATTTTAATACTGGTTCTTGAATGAGCTTTGTTAATTGAAAAGATTGTGTTAGAAGTTCATTACTGTTTTCATCATCGAATTGAGCTAATTGATATAATGCTCTTGATTTGTAATAAGGATTACGCATTAATTGAATTTTATTGTATAAACATTCTTTAATATTTATCGTTTCAGTTAATTCAGGTAGTAATGCAACATAGATGGCTTCTTTATTCAAGTCTTTTGATTGAATTCCAAAGATTAATAATATAACCAATGGAATTAATTCAGGATTTTTATTGAAATATTCTTCTTTGAGAAAAACGTTACAAATAGCTTGTATTACGAATGCTATATTTGTATGAATGTTTTCTAAACAATTAAAGAATCCTATAGGTATGTCATCGTCTGGAAATGATTTGAAAGTAAACATATCTAAAGCCCATGGATATGCGCGAACTGGTTTGTAAATCTGGACTGTATCATTAATTTTTAAAAACGATTTTATGATTAAATCACTTTTCATAGATTCAATGCATGTATCCAATAATACAGCAACAGTATATTGTATATCCCCAACGGAACTACTGGTTAATTTATAGGCAAAATATTCCGCATAAAGAGCACATTTATTTTCCATATTATTTGTAGTTTCAGCTAATGTATGTGTATCAACTGGCAATCCACCACTATTGACAATTAACGATAAATATATTTTAGAATAATCACAAAAGTTAAGACCGTATGGCAAGGGTTTTATTTTCATATTATTATAAATTGTAAGTAGATATTCCTCTGTGTATGAGAAATATCTTGCTATTGGATCTTTTAAAATATATATCAATTGTTCCAGTCTATTGCCGAAGTATTTTGTCAATAGTCCATTATTTTCTTCCATAATAATACTTGCAAAATCGAAGTCTCCTAATGCAACCAATGCAATGAATATTTCAATTTGTTCATTGATACATAATTTTTTACTATTAAGTTGTTTTTGTAATTCTTCTTTTAGTCCTCTCGCTGATCTTTCTTCGGAAAGGAATTCAAGAATTTTTCTTGTCAAAAATGATTCCTTGTAAATTTCATTCTCGTCAAATCCTGGTTTTTCATTCCAAAATTTTCTTTTTCCTATTGCATCAGCACGTACAGCCATATTATAAATAGGATCATCCATTCCCCATACATTTTGATAATAAAAGGTAAATGGCGCTCTTTGGTTTTCACTTAAAGCAAGAAACTGAGCTAATTCATTATACTCAGAGACTGTTGCTTGAGTATTATAATTTTTATATCCACCATAAAGTGCCGTAATTAAACATAACCAATCATTATTCTTTGTAATATATTCAATTAATTTAGAATTTTCTATAATTGCTTTTTTAAATTGCAATTGTGTGAGTACTGATTGATCTTTTATCTCGGTTGAATAAAATCGTAAGAGTGAATCTATTGGCCAATCCCAAAATTGTGAATCATTATGTAAATTTCTCAAAAATATATCATGAAATTTCGGAGAATACCATTTAAGTTGATAAATAATATTCGCACATGGTGCAATATTCGTTTCATCATTCATTTTTTCAATGAACCATGAAATCATTGTTAAAGTAGATTTTTGTTTTAATTTGAAGAAATATGAATGAATTAATTTCTGGTGTTCTTTTAATCTTGAAAAACTTAACAGATTCTTATAATCGTTTAATAACATATCAGCCAATTTACACATCAGTTTATGTTCTGCTTTTTCGAATGGAAAATACATATCATTCAAGGAATCAATAATAACAAATGGTACGACAAGAGTAGAGGATGATGATATTGATTCATTCGTTAATAATCTTTCTAGAATCTGATGAAATAAATCATTATTTTCATGTAATTTACTTAAGATTCCAAATGTCATACTGAGAGGAACTCTCCAATTAGGAATATCAATTTTATTTTTGATATTTTCATAAATTTCATCGATAGATCGTTCGATTCCATTGAAATAAATAATACTTTTCGCTGCAAGATATTCTTGAAATGTTCGATGAATAAATCGAAAACTATTATGACCAAATTCATTTAATAAACCAACTTTATATTTAAAAATATCTACAAGTTTTGAAATTAAATCATCAATATCATTCGATAATTCTTGTTGATAATCAATTAAACATTTCCTAATAATTTCTCTTAGGTTATTTTCTGATAATCCTTCAACTATATTATGAAGATATTCAGCTATTTTTTGTAATATTGACCATAATATTATTGCATTCAATTGAAGATCGTCATTTACAGAAGATGTAACTAATCGTTCAATCATTTTTTCGATTGCTTTTTCATATAAATCAATTCTTTTCTCAGGTAATTTATCGTCATATTGATTATAAACAGCTGCAATAACACTTGCTAATTGTGGATTTATTGCTAATTGAAATATATCTTTATTTTCTGTTATATCATTATATAATTGATTAGTTTTACATGCATTCATACATTTTCCGGTTTGTATACCAATCTTATTAATACATTCAGTATAAGAATTACAAAATAATTTTAGAGATTCATTCGACATATCTTGAATTGTTAATCTTGGAATATAAAAATTGATATCTTCAAAATAATTTCCTTCGATTCGACTAGTTATTATAAATCGATTACCCATTGTTGGATCTTTTGTATTATTAATTTCTTTTTGTTCATAGATGGAATGTGTAAGTTTATTCGATTTTGAATCATAATCAATTCCTCGTTCTAATAATGCATTAATATCTTTTAATAAATCAGTTCGATCAACATGAGCAGGAACTTCATCTAATCCTTCAAAAATAATCAAAACATTTCCATGTAATAATAATTCAATAATTAATGATGATAAATCTTGTTTTTCTTCATTGGTAAATAATAATGAATTAAGTGTTGCATTATCATGTATAAATTGAAGTAAAGTTAATTTTTGTCCATAAGGATTATCTTTTATTTGATTAACATATTTCCATATTGGAATAAGAATTGGAATTTTTTCTCTCGTATTAAACAACATATTTTTCTTTCCTAAACATTGTTGAGCCATATTCATTACTAACCATTTGGATATAGTTGTTTTTCCTGATCCAGGATGACCTAAGATAATGAAATGTTTAAATTCATTATATGCTTGTTGAATTTGATATTGTTTTGATTCTTGAAAATTATTTTTCTTCAAAATATTTTGTTTCAATTGAGATATTTTATTCCTAATAGAATTTGCTTCATTTTCAGAAAAAAATTCTTTGTTACTTAATAAAACATTTAACCATTGATCAATCATTAAATCTCGATAAATTCCTTCAGGATTATAAGTACTTCTTTTAATAATTGCTTGAATTAATTTTTGTTTTTCATTATCATCGAAAAATCCATAAGATAAAACTTTTCGTTTAAATTCTTCATACATATCAATTGTTTTCATTGCTTTAATCGATGGATGTGTTGGATCAAATTTTAATTCAACATAAACACTTTCTAATGGTAAAGAAATATCATTATTTGAATATCCAAAAATTGAGACATGTCCATATTCATTGATTAAATAATTTAAATATTTTCGACGAACATTCTCTCGTCGTTCTGTAAAAGATAAATTTTGGTGTATTAATGTAGAGAATGATGAAAGACTTTGTAGAAAGAAGAATAAATCTTCGAAAGTATTTCCATAAGAAACTTCTTTGATATTTTCTAATAATGAACATCGAACATTTGATTGAATAAGTTTGTAAATTGTTGGTGGGTTGTTACTTGTAATACTGAATATCCATTTTAAGAGTTGAGAGAAACTCGGATCCGGCATACCCATTCCATATCCAACGAATAGTAAAGTTTTACCTTCAACAAGTGTTCGTAGTTTAGAACAAGCCAATTCATCTTCATGAATTCGATGATAATCATTACTACTAAAAATCACAGTATTTGAACTCTGATAATGTCCATACACATGCAGAATATAATTTATCATATTTGTCAATGAATTATTACTTTGAAATTTATTCCATGTTAATGTTTCTTTGCTGAGTATATCTTCTAGAAGTGAATCATAGTTTGTTGTTAAAATTGGACATCCTAATTTGCCTATCGCTTTGATTAATTCGGGTTTTTGCGGATGTAGTTGTCCTATAGTGTCTGTTAACCAAGCTTCGTAGGTATCAGTTTGTTCTCCAAAACAATACTTAATGCGATCGGCAAAAAATACATAATCATTAACTTCCACGCTAGTGTCTAGCTTCTTAATGGACTCTGCAAAATTTTCCTCATCGCTACCTGTCGAACGATAACATTGGTTAAGTCCATTATTTAATAATCCTTTCCAATAAGAAACTGTTGTATCACCATTTGCTGTGTAAACTGATATATCAGGACCAACAAATACCACAACGTCATTTGAAACGAGGTCTTTCTTGATTTTCTGGATGTCATTCGTCATTTTTGTGAATTTCTTTTATTAAATTCACGTTTATCTAAAATTGAACCTACTCCATTTTTTCAATCATCACGAAAAAAAAGCAATCGCGTCAGAATCGATGAAATTTTACACGATGCTTCCTATAATAGAGAATTATTAAGGTTATCTCAGTAGTTATAGTGGACAGAACCCAATAGCAGTGGTATTATATCTACCGACTATATATTTCATCTTTTATCAGTATAACACTTGAGAAATAACTAAAAATTCTGTTGATGAAAAAAACCCACCAACTGTTGTTTTGCACCTTTATCTACATGTATTCACTTCGCCGAAAGGTGCATCATATGTTGGAAGAAACATAAAACAGCATGGCTGTTTTTATCTCGGAAGAAAAAGAAAGATTTTTCTTTCTTTCTAAAAGATTTATACAAAATAAACTGGTTTCTTCCAACAAAAAACAACAGATTTGTGTTCTCTCTTATGGCTACACTCTAATTCTGTCGAAATTATTTTTGCTTCCTCTGATTACGTATGAACTGATTTATCGGCGAAACGCTTTTTAACAAGAGTGTCATTCGACAAATGATATAGGATTTTTTCAATACATAATGTATACTATAGTCTTATTTTTTTCCTGTTCCTCGCTCATTCTAATTTAATAATTCTTGATAAACTCATTACTAAGTTGAATTTTTAATCTTTATTCGTTAGATTGTAACGATAGGGTATAGAAACGGGAATTGATCTATTTGTATGTATCATTTTTGTCTGTAACATGCCACAATCGGTCATTTTTTTTCGTACAAATGACCATGTAACTATGGCATATTTTCGATAATATAATTTTTATTCGGTAGTATAATTTTATTCGAATATTATAATATTTAATATATACTATTTAGTTTATTTGTATCAAAATGGTGCTAATTTAAATATTTGAAATATTTCTTAATTGTATATATGTCATTATTTTATTGAATAAATTTAAATATTGAGGCAATGCTAATTTCACTTTTAATATGGAGGAACATGAAACTAATATTAATAACAAAAAAAAGAAACGTCCTTATACACAGAATTTTATAATGCTTTGAAAAAAATATTCGTCTATTCTTATATAGCATGTCGTTTATTATCATCAATAAATATTTTTAATGCATACATAAAAAGAACGACGCTGTATCCAAATATCTTGTACCATAAATCAGAAAAGCAAAGCCTAGGATAAGAAGCTTCAGAAACTATGCATTGTAATTTGATGATTTTAAAATTTTACTAATTGCATTATCGTAAATTATTTTAAATAAACTTGCCAGTTTACTTGTCTTGTTATAGTGCATATAGAAAAAAAACTGAACTCCGATTTTACTTTATAATTATAGAGATCTTTACTATGAATTTTTTAAAGTATTTTCAAACTTTATTATTCATTCATCAAATACTAAACTTTATTACTCATTTATCAAGTATCAACCTTTATTATTCATTGATCAAATATGAAGCTTTCTTATTCATTCAACAAATATCCAACTCTATTACTCATTCATCAAATATCAAACTTTTAGAAAATGCTTGATTTTATAAAAAGTAGTAATTCAGTTTGATTTTCTGATGAAAGTCGAAACTAATATTGATCAATCCTTGTTCACATCTAAATATAGTCATATTCGTATGCGGATCGCGACAGACTAGTGTCAAGTGGATGGAGTTTCTATGAACGTTACTTGTTTTTAAATCCATATAAGAATATTACATGTCAATTTAGGATCTCTAACAATCACACATCTTGATGGTAGATGAACTTTCAACCATTGTATACACTCATCTTCATTGTCTTCTTCTGATATTGATGGTTGGATGTATATTTCATCTTTACACCGGACATTTATCATTCGAAGTTTAGTTATGAATTTGATTAAAGTGACCACACATTGTCGATTCGAAACTAAGATTGATAATTTTTCGCATTGCATTCCTAATGGTGAATGACTGAAGTTGAAACAATCTTCTTCATTAAAATAATAATTTATATCACGTAAATCAAGTTCACGAATAGATGCATTTCTATATTTGAAAAGTGATGTTGAGAAATTCGTTGATTCATGTTGATTAATATTTAATCGATATAGATGAGGTGCTCGATCAAGTAATGCTTGAACTTGTGATCGAAAAGCATTTGTATGTAATAATATTTTCAATGTTTTTAATCGATTTAAATTTGGTACAAGAGTCCAAAATTGTTCAGCAATAGGAAGATTAAGATGGAGTTCTTCTAAATTAATTAAACGAATGGAAGATGAAATGGATTGATCGAAAAATGTTGGAGAGATAAGTTTTGTTACTGCATGATAAAAATCTTGTTGATCATCATGTTGATATGTTGATCTAAATGCGACTGGAAGATTTTCTTCATATTTAGTTGATAAACTATAAAGATAAATTGTTCTGTTCGAAGTAAAACAACGGATAAACCATTGATGATCATCAATCCAAAAAGAACTTTGAAATGAATTTAGTAATACGTCAATACGGTTTTGTATATGTTGTCCTAAATGTAATATCATTTTCATTTTTAATTGAAGAATTTCAAGTTTAGGTAAATTATTTCGAATAATTTGCTCTAAATGAGTACCATCGACAATTTCACACGATAGATCGATGCTCAGTCGATGAAGATTAGGAGTATTTTGTAATAAATTAGTCGTATTTAATGCATTACATGTGATGATAGAGTGAATACTCAAATCAGTAAGACTTGGAAGTGATATAAGTTGATAATTATTATCAGTAAATGATCGTATAGATAACGAAAGATATTGAAGCTTAGGTGTAAATTCAAATAATCGATTAATTTGATTCAATTCCACTTGAATTCTATCGATAATTAAATGTGTGAGAGATGTAGAAGTGATAGTTGGTGTACACAACATACATTGTCCTTGAGTTGCAATACCAAGTGTACAAAATTTAAGTTTAGATAAACTCCAAATGTGATTCATAATTATTTGAAAATCAACATGATTATCTTGAAGATAACAATTATTGAAATTCAAATGAGTAAGATATGGAAGATGATGACATTCTTCGAGAATTCTTATCAGTATTGGATATGAACGAATATTCGATAATGAGAGATATTTTAATTGAATGAATTGATTGAAAGATGAAATTGATGAAAGAAATAGTTTAATTTGTCTAGGTGTTTCTTCGTTGTCGAAAAGATGAAGAGTACTAATATATTTGGACATTGTTGGAAAGTGAGATTGACATATGGTATCAAAATCATATTTTGATATTGAATGAAAATCGATGGAACAGTATGGAAATCGTCCATGAAGAACCATATTAAAGCGATTATTAAGACCATAAAATGTACGAAGAAGATCAATACCATTGAAATATTCAAATATATCAAGTAAAATTTCGTTTGGTAATAATTCTAAACTCATGACTGTTTGTATCTTTCTTTTTTCAAGTATATTATATACTATGTGATGTTGTGTTGTGCAACAAGTATGTTGTTTCTTTTTCTTCCGAGTTCTCTTTTTTTTCTTTTCTTCCAACAAGTCGACACACGTGTCAACTGTGTCGCATGTGTTTGAAAAAAATAAAATACAGGTAAAATATTTATTCAAAACTTATGAGAAGAATCATAATTATTATCTGGAGAGTGTGAGTGTCGTTAGAGAAGCAGCACCCACACCCTCAAGAATATTTCGCGATAAACTAAATAAATTTATTAGAAATGATTTAAAACAATTGTTTAGAGAGACCAGAATACATAACATCTTGTTTGTATAATTGAAGGTATCAGACAATGCAAGGTAGGGACAGAATTAACAAAATTTATTTTTCTAGTTATGAATTTTATTAATAAAAAATCAAAATATCATGTTTCGGAACAATATAGTTTTAAGTTTTTAATCTCGAATAATTTGAATAAAACTTTTGTTGATTAACGTTTATTAGGTGTAGTATAATGGACATTAGTCGCTATTGGAGAAAATGAAATGACCGGTTTACTGCTTCCCGAATCTATATTTGTCCAATCACCGCACGAAGCAGTTGAAACTCCAGCATGATCTCCCGTAGCATAACGAGTCAAATCTTCTTCAAGTTTATCAAGAGTCATTGTTGGAAACTTTTCCATAATGACTGAATTTTCAAATGTAACATTATCATTAATTGTAACACCGCTACCACCAAGTATGACGTCCACCTTTTCTAATCTGTCTCTTGTTTGTTGTAATTGTTTTCTTTTCGTTCGAACAAATGTATCTTCCGAGAGACATCCATCGACAAAATCTGGTTGTTGAATTGGAACTTGTCTTAAACGGTCACGTATACCAATACATATGTCAAAGACACATCCTGCACGTAGAGATAATGCTATATAATCGACAAAACGTTTTATTAATAATTTCCAATATGAATGTAAACTAATTAACATATCTTGTACTGATTGTTCATCATTCGAAATTGCATTAAACATGGATTCATCGTCAGTATCGATCGATAACGTAGAAGACGCTGCTTTATCACCTTTCTTGCTTGATTTTGATTCTGTTAAACGTTCTTTATATCTATTGATGCTATTCATATAATTATTATTCATTGTGTACGGATCATGTTTTTCCAATCGAATTAATTCTTGGACTTGATTACGCACAGCTTGTTGTTTCTCATGCACATACGAATGAACAATTTGACGAAAGGGTGGTAACAGTTTTAACAATAACATATCACCTTTACATGCTTCAGTATCGTTTTTTGTTAAAATATCCAATGTTATTTGAAAACATTCGTTGATGAGTACATCTGTGACATTCGAAAGCTGATCAAGATTTTCACAAATGAGACGTTTCAAAACAGGATGTGGCAAAAAGTTTGGTAATTGTTCACCAAAACAAGCTGACATAGCATCTCGAACTTTCGCACGGTATTTTGGCGAGAAAAGTTGTCGAGTTTGAATGCTTATGATATCGTCAAGTTTCGCCAATTTTGAATGTAAAATATTGACCATACTTGACCGTTGGCCATCGTTCGAACTGTTAAAACGTACTTGTAGAATACGTTCGACATAAATGTCAGTTAATTCATAATATTTTACTAAACGTGCAGTAGGTGTGTCAAGATCCATTGGAAATTTTGATAACTGTTCACGAATATCTTTCAACTTCTTTCGTATATCATCTCTCATTTTTGGAAATGTTTCTTTTACTCGATCTGCGTATAAATCCGCTAAACGATTAATCAATCCTTCAATACCAAGACAATGCCATCCGACTACAGTCGAAGCAGAATGTTCACGAAAAAATTCTTTCTCACGTCGACGAGCTTCTTCCAACGAGATTTTTTCTTCGGCACTACGATTACGAACAGCAACAAAACCTAAATTCAAATGAAGTACATCGGCCCGTTCCATTAATAATTGTTGCACTAGCGTATCATTATTTGTAGCCAAATCCGATTTGGTAATAACACCAATTGTTCGAACACCATCTGGATCGACTTCACTTGCTAATGTAAATGATTCAACTGTGGCAACATCTACATTGGCTGGAAAGACACATAAAATGACACTGCCTTCTTGTTTAATAAAGTGTTTAATTAGATCAGTTGTCTGTTTATGGATATCTCTAGGTTGATCAGCGATAGGATTTCGTGCTATACCAGGTAAATCGACAAGAGTCAAATCGCGTACATTAGGATCTTCTACTTGTAATTCAATCAAATCGTGAACAACATTTTTCTGCTCACCAGCTAATTTCTTAGTTTC